GGAATGGACAAACCCCCTTTATTCTTGAAAGGTCACACAGAAAACACTTTTGAAAACACACGGGCAAGATTTTATACATGGTATGAGAACTATATCAAAACAAGACAAGACAAGGACAATAAGCAATTTTACTTAGAAGAGGTTATAGACTAGAACAGCTTTTATATCTGTATAAACTGTTTGCAAAAATAGATTATAACAATTTTTAAGGTCTAAAGTTGAAGTTGACATGAAAAAGGCTCTTGAGGTACCATTTACTTACAATGTACCCGCACAACTATGTTTTATGTTGTCCTGGCTCCAGCCGGGAGCTCCCGGAAAAGGCCGTATCGGCTGCCGGGAATGCCATGGAGGAACCCCCAGCCGACCCCCCATCTACCCGGTCCGGGGACAGTTCGACAGCTGGAAGTGGCGAAGAAGTGGCGGAGGAGCTACGGGAGGTCGGCACGCCATTCGGAGGCGACCAGGAAGACGCCGATGCGCTGCAGTGGCAGCAGAAAAGTGGCAGACGACAGGCGCGGGCTCGGCAGCGCTGGGAGGTGCGGCGAGGCTGGAAAGAATCCAGGAAGACAGCCAGAGACACGGGGCTGGGGGAAAACGGGCCGCGTGGGGCGGAACCGCCCCAACTCAGCGTCCAGGGATTTATCTGAGGGCGAGGTTAGAGCAGAGGGGAGGAGAAAAGGGCTAGAGAGGGAATAAAAACGGAAGGATGGAGACGGCCGGTGAGGGAGACTGGACTGGCGAAAGGAGATGCTGAGAGAGAGGGCGAGTTTTGACGGTCGGTCTCAAGAAGCCAGAACCCAGGTGGGACAGGAGGGGTGACGTAACCCCTCTTTGTGACAGTCCTGCAATTCTGCGGCCACTCCTCCACCTTCCTTCCCCCCCTATTCAGGCCCTGAACCTCAGCCCAGGACCGGAATTGGAGCCACCAGGAAGACCAGAGGGAGAAGCAAACCCTTCAGGGCCAGCCCTCCAGGATGGCGACCGGGGGTCAGTCGGCGCCAGCCAGCGGGGGGCACCACATATGTATGTCTGTTTGTTTGTTTGTCATGGAAAATAGATAAAAAATTACTTGGGGGGGAAAAGAAGTTCTCTCAGAGCTCTCTCAGCCCCACCTACCTCACATAGTGCCTGTTGTAAGTTGCTTTGGGACTCCTTAAGTTAGAGAAAAGCAGGCTATAAAAACCCACTCTTCTTCTACTTCTTCTAATTCACAGCAGCACGCATACACAAAATCATTTCAAAGCAAAATGCCTCAGGTGCACTGAAGTATGTAATATGCAAAAATCAAAGGCCCTGGGAATTTCAAGCAGCAAAGACTAATAATCTCTCTCTTGTGAAATGGCTTGGGGAACTGAGGTGTAGCAGATACAAGGGGAGAGCCATTCAAACAATTCCCCCCACCCTCAACACAATGCCATGTCCACGCCACACCAGGCAACAAGCCACAAATGCTGTCCAGACTGTACTGTCCCTGAACCCCAACTTCACTGGTTCCAGCCTCTTGTACTGGCAGTGTCCCCAAAAACAGCATCTCCAGGGCAGCAGATCTGCTACAACAGAGCACTCTAGAATGGTGACATCTTGCCCAAGAAGCTGCGATGCTCTACAACCACTATTTCAGTGCTCTTGCATGCAACAAATACGCTCAGCTCCAGTGCAGGAGTTCCTCTTTTCCTGCAGCTGCAGCAATGGGTTGATCATCGAGCAAAACATGGAAAGCAGCGACTTGGGTCTCTCTGCCAAAGATGGTCAATAGGATGCAGCCACCATGTCCACAAACCTAGAGAAGACCTGGAGAAGGCATAGATTTACCAGCCTCCAAGTGGTGGCTGGATATCTCCTGGGATTACAACTGATCTCCCAGTGACAGAGAAAATCGCTGCTTTGGAAGGTGGATTCTATGGCACTTAAGTCCCTCCCCTCCCCAAGCCCCGCCCTCCTCAGGCTCCACCCCCAAAATCTCCAGGTATTTCCCAACAGGGAGCTGGCAACCCTTAGAAAGGATGCCTGTTTTCACACATTAAATCCCCCCTTGCTGGATCAGTCTTTTGGGGAAAGGGCTTAAAGGAACCGCACAAACTCCTCGACTCACATCACGACCCCGCAGCATCCGTAGAGACTGCTCAGTTTTCCGCTGAAGCCCCATCTTCTCAATCGCCTTTCGAGGTAGGACAGCACTAGAATGATGATGGCCTACAGACCAGGAGAAAAGCCACGAAGGTTAGTGCAGCAACAAATCTTCAAAAACGAATGCAGGATAATGGGCATCAAGTGCTCTCCAAGATATACTCGGCAGAATACGTGTACACCAATGTATCTATCTAGTTCATTTAAAGTGCTGAATTAGAACTAAAAAAAAATTTAAACACTACAGGTCATCCTGGCTTAAACAGAGACTTGAGTTTCCTTGGTGAGTACAATCTCTAATAGCTCTACAGGGGCCACTTTTTAGAAAACTTAACTGGCTGTTTTGCCATGACCTGGATGGGTGAGGCTAGCCCAATCTCATCAGATCTTGGAAGCTAAGCAGGGTGGGTCCTGGCTAGTACTTGGGCAGGAGGCCACCAAGGAAGACCAGAGTTGCTGCGCAGAGACGGGCAATGGCAGAACCACCTCTGAGCATCTCTTGCCTTGAAAGCCCTATGAGACGTTGCCATAAAGTCTTGACTTGGCCACATGTTCCACCACCAATATGTTTTATCGGATGATAACCTTGCACCAGTATCAGTTAATTTTCACTTCTCTGTTCAAACCTCTGACCTCCTTCACCATCCAGTATGTTGAGATATGATGGGATTCTGTTGATAATTCTGTGGATATATGATGGGATTCACACCTAACCTTTCTGTATCACCTCCTCCCTTTCCCCCTTGCATTGAGATTTACATTTTAGATACTCGTGGTGCAATTCACACCAAGCCCTGGTTCCTCTCCCGCCCCAACCTTCCCCGTGAGATCTCCCAGTACAATTTCCCCTTCACATGTCTGTCTGAAGAAGTGAGCTCTGACTCACAAAAGCTCATATTGAAATAAATGTTATTAGTCTTTCAGGTGACATGATAGGAGTCTTCGTTTTATTTTGCCAAGGCAGACAAAATCCCGGACTTCCTCCAAGGAGTGCAGGGTAGCATACGTGGGTCTCCTCTCTTCCATTTTATTCCCACAACAACCCTACGAGGTAGATTAGGCTGGGAGAGAGTGACTGGCCCATGAGCTTCCACAGCGTAGTGGAGGTTTGAATTCTGATCTCGCAGAGATCCACCAGATCCTAATCCACTACACTACACTGGCTCTCTTGTCTTGTTTCTTCTTCTCAGCTCTTTGGGTTCAGGACTCTCCACGTGGATGCTTAAAATTGTTTTTCTTTACTCTCACCTTCTAAGGTTATTGTTACGTATGACACTTAACTCGGAGGAACAGTTCAACAAGTGATTCAGCTTTATTTCAGCTCAGGAATAGTGAGAACATCATAACAAGTTAGACCTGCTAGGACTAGACCAGCTAGACAATTCAATAGGCAAAACGGCAACTTATATACAATTTTGGCTGAGACAGCCACACCCACAATGCTTACAGTATCCAATCACACTAGGTACATTACAACCAATCATAATCAAAGAGATAACGTCCAATCAAAATCATTCCCTCCAGAAGGCACACCATTGGCCAGTATTACAATCCGCATAATGAGCGATGCTAGATTATGCTTTTACCATTATGTTTCTCAAGACATAACAGTTATAGTATGAGACATCGTAGACCCATCTAGTCCAAAACCCTGTTCCTCACAACAGTCAGCCAGATGCCCACTCAAGAAGCCCGCACCCAGGACAGCAAGGTGACAGCCCTCCCCTGCTGTAGCTCACCAGGAGCTTGTATTTCTTATTTATTTACCATTCGATTTCTAGGCCGCCCTCCCCGCAAGCGGGGCTCAGAGCAACATGGCCTCTGAGCATGGAGGCTCCATCCAGCCATCTGAGGATGTGTGCGTGCACACAAAAGTTCATACCTTGAATGAAACTTTGTTGGTCTTAAAGGTGCCACTGGACTCTAAATTTGTTCTCCAGCTATCGCAGTCGCTGATAGACTCGATGCCTGTGAGTTTGCCTAATCTCCTTTTAAAGGTATCTCTCATTCACCCTCTTCTCATCTTCAAAACAGCATTAACCTGGAAAGCTTTGGAGATCTCACCTGCAACAGCCTTGTTCCAAAGGGGGGGGGGAAGCAGCTGCAACAGAGAACCTCCCTTGAAGACTATGGCTTAAGAAGCCAGTCACAGGTGAAGGTCAGGTTTCTTCCAGTCTCCACCAGGCATTGTTCACACTACATCACATGAACTGTCATTCCTTGTGCTCCACACCCCAATTCCCCTCCCCCCCAAAATCATGCACCCCGTGAAAAAGGGACATGCACAGTTAGGGCTGCCAAGCCGCGGCGGGGGATCTGCATGTCTTCACAGGATCCCTGCCGTGGGGGACAGCAATACGTGTTGCACCGCCGTCGCCAGGATGTGACGCTACGCCCCGTTGCCAGAGCGACGTGTAGCGTCACATCCTGGCGATGGCGGTGCAACACGTATTGCTTCAGAAGGTGAGGGAGAAAAATGGAGTTCTTTGACCCCTGAGCACCCTTCCCACCCACTGCATTTTTTTTAAAGTCCTGTTTGAGAAGCAAATCCAGATTCTCAGTTAAAACTCCAAAGATAAAAAAGCAGACAATTGAGCATGTGCAAATGGCCAGCGCACCATCTGAGCAGAATTAAAAACTGAAATAAACTGTGGCAATGAGCGTTGTTGCGGATGCAGCCTCAATACCCAAAGCACACTTTAGAAAGAAACAGTCTGTTGCCAGCTCCTGGATCTCCAAGGTAACTGATGTCAGGTCACCCTTGCATGAATCCCAAACCTTTTTGAGCCCACACGCACCTCTGGGATTCTGACACAGTGTGGTGGGCACAGCCATAAATTGGCTGCCACACGGTGTAGCTAGCCATACAGTGGCTTCCACAGCTTACCTTCCATCACACAGTGAATATCCTTGTGCTGTAGAGGCAGGCAACTGCTACCAAAGCAATGTTTTTGTTTTTTTAAAATCTGCACAGCAAACAAAATTTCCAATGGCCAAGTGTTGCTGGGCATTTTCTACTTGGCAGGTGCCAGGAAAGGGGCTGGTGGGCACCATGAAGCCCATGGGCACCATGTTGAGAACCCCTGGATTAGAGTGTTGGACTAGTATCTAGGAGACCCAGGTTCAAATACGCCACTCTGCCATGGAAGCTGGCTGGGTGGCCTTGGGCCAGTCACACTCTCTCAGCCTGACCTACCTCACAGAGTTGTTGTGAGGATTAAATGGAGAAGAGAACAATGTAAGCCACTCTGGGTCCCCAAAGAACTAAATAAAAGAAATAAATGATCCAGGGATACCCAAGCACAGTAACAGCAGCTTATGCATTTCCAAGTAAACAAACCAGGGAGGTAACAGGAAGATGATATGCATCAGTGGCAACCTTAAATTTCTTGCAAACACCTAGCAAATTATAAGAAGAAGAGTTGGCTTTATACCCTGCCCTTCACTCGGAGTCTCAGAGCAGCTTACAATCTCCTTTCCCTTCCTCTCCCAACAACAAACACCCTGTGAGGTAGGTGGGGCTGAGAGAGCTCTGAGAGAACTACTCTTGAGAGAACAGCTCCGAGATAACTGTGACTGACTCAAGGTCACTCCAGCAGCTGCATGTGGAGGAGTGGGGAATCAAACCTGGTTCTCCCAGATTAGAGTCTGCACTGCTAACCATTACACCAAACTGGCTCTCTGCACCAAACTGGCAACTTCTACCTTACCTCTAACAAAAAAGAGCAAAAGTTCAGTAGCACCTTAAAGACTAAAAAAAAAAATGTAGCAAGATGTGAGCTTTCATGAATCACTGTTCACTTCTTCAGATATCAATTATCTGAAGAAGTGAGCAGTGACTCAGGAAAGCTCATCCCCTGCCACAGATTTTGTTAGTCTTTAAAGTGCTACTGGACTCTGGCTCTTTTCTACTGTTACAGACAGACTAACATGGCTAGCCATCTTGACTTACCTTCAGTGCATTTTGTACAATCAATGCAGGAGTGCATGCACTGGCTAACGTCCAACCACACAGTTCCTCCACTGGAAAGGCACTTCTGCTTGCAGAAACAAGACGGCAATTTCCTGCTCACTCCCCACTCCAGATCCCCCACACACTTCGACCCCAGGCCTTTCTTGAGGATCCATCGACCCCCAGAAATAAAATTTGGCATGGGGGGGGGGTCCATGGGCTGCACTAGAAGTTGTGAGGCAGGAAAAGTGCCACACCACAAAATCTGTGGGAGGCTGGATACACACCACCAATCAGAAAAGACCAAGCAGTCAACAACTGTCAGGGGTTTTTTTGTTCTACTTACGGACGGAACAAGCGAGTAATGCAGATAGTGCTCCATGTCTATTACACTGTTGCACGAGAAGTTGGCAGTGCCATTCTCCCTGATTATGAAACAGAGAGAACAGAGTTAGAAGTATATACAGATTTCAATACCCCCCCCCAAAGTACTATCAAAAGCCTCTTCTTATGTGCCACCACCTCCACTGAAAATGCCTGGAGTGGTATTTGCAGATTCCTGATAGCTGAAGGCCAGGGCAGATGCAAGAGTTTTAATTGTTTTAACTTGATCCGTAAATGTCTGTTGGAATTGTTGTTCACTGCCCTGAGCCCTGTGCAC